ATTTTGTAAATTGCAATCACATTTTATGTACTGAACTTTTCTACTAGGGAAAAAGATTCATTACTATTTGGAACCAAGAATTTCTAGAGATAAGAAGGATATTTAAACACAGCAACAATAAAGAATATACTTTCTAATTATATTTTTACAATTTAAGTAATTTCAAAGCTTTCTTTTTGAGAAAGATTCACCCATAAATTATGTCCCTACTTAAAAGAGGGAAGAGTACATGAAAACATCACATAGGATTGGTTTTTATTTTATCATGCAGTTTTTTAATAAAATAATTTGGAAATATTAAAAATATTATATTGTCATTCAAAACCTCATATCTCCATTAATTAGTCAAAACCATATTTTTGCATTAATGTATTGTAAAGTCAATTTCTATGTATTGCCAAAACCTTGTATGTGGTTTGCACCTTTTAAGCACTCTCTAGAACAGCGTTTCTCAAAGTGGGCAATAACATCCCCTTGTGGGCAATGAGTAAATCTAGGGGGGTGCTGGAGGCATGGTATTGAACAATGACCAAAGGCAAAATTGGGGTCACTGAAAGCCATTCCCTTTCCTCTGTTAAACTGATAAGAGGAAACATTGCATTTAATGGTTTCCAGATGTTGAGAACAATGTACTTACCGTACATTGTTCTCAACATCAAGGGCACAAAGTGTGAGATTCATAGAAAAGTTTTCCTAAGAATATTTCCAATCCTTTCTCACACAACAGAAAATGAGTTAGGGGGTGTTGGGTATAACTTTATGGAACAAAGGGGGTGGTAGATCGAAAAAGTTTGGGAATCACTGCTCTATGACATTGTCAAAAACTCATAACCTCTTACTCAAAATTTTATTAATTTTTGACAAAAATTAAAAATTTTTCACAAGTCTATCCAATATGTTTTTTTAAACTTGATGTATAAATTGAGCATTATAATTTTTTATGTTAAAAAACACTTTTGTCTACTTTATTTAAAGTTACATCAGTTAAACAATATCCATACAACTTTGAAAAAAATGTTCTAAAAATTAATAATAATTTAATAGTTGCATTCCAAACAAAAAATTATCCATTACAATGTCAGCATTCCACATATTTAATGTTTTAAATGTATTTACTTACTGTACAAGTAGAAGTATGAAATATTTAAGATATTCATGGAGACGTGTTAAAAATCTTAGATATATTCACATAGAGATGTTAATTGATTTGTTGAAAATAACTCTTACTGGTAAACGCATTAAAAATTGGGATCAAACTACACTTGAGAAGTACAAAAAAAAAAAAAAAACATTCACACCTTTTGTATACACACTTATCATAACAGTTCATCAGTTGGATAGCCAGAAAAATCATCTGGCAAAAAAGGCCTGAGGAAAACACTCCAGCATAAGCTCTATGGCAAAAGCCATCAACTAAATGAAAAGCTGTCTTGGAACAACATTCACTATCAAAATAATTTACTGAGGATAAGGAACAATTTGTCATATTTTTAATTTACAGAAATGTTAACCAATAAAATGTCCAATAAAGACAAAATAAGAGTTGTGACACTTGTGGTTGACAATATCAGAAAGATTTCAGTTTACTTTTTTAATTCCAGCAAATTAATAAACAAAAACGTTTTTGATCTAGATAGATAGATAGATCTTTGTCATTCCTGGTTGGCCTTAATACATTTATAGATTTTGGAAATTTACAAGGCCAACCTGGAACAACAAAGATCTATCACAACCTAGATCAAAAACATTTTTGTTTATTAATTTTCTCTATTATTGTTTCATCATTAATGCCAGTTTAACGGCTATCTGAACACTAATTATTCAAAAAATTATAGTGAATAAGATGTATTCACTGTTTTCAGCTATGTAATTCAAATTGTCCTTGTTCCTATTTTTGTCACTAGATAAGATTATTACTTGTGTTGGACAGAATATTTGGCATTATTCAGTATTCAGGTATATTTGACAACAAAAATAAGTATTTGATATTCTGACCAAATACTTCCTCAAAGTCAAACTATTCTGTTGAATAATCTGATTTTACTTGGGGAGAGAGAAGGAAGGAAGTAATAATAATAATAATAAAACACAAAATAAAATGAAAACAACATTTAAAAACTCAGATATTTAAAAACATTGTTATATATTACTTTAATAAATTATCTTGAGTAAATATCATTTATTAATAATCATAATTCAAGAATGATATATTGTAATGAAGGAACAGTAATACTTCTGCATTCATAGGAAGTAAGATGGTGAAGTCTTTTCATTTACATACAGCTGAAATACTGATAGGATGAACCATTTTCTTTCATTTTGCCAAGTTCAACTATTACACCAAATAATGAAATATCCACAAAACTTTATCATAATTTCATTCAAAAGTTTTGCTGTAAAAATAATGTCAATTACTTCTTTGTGCAATGTTTGAAAGTACTTGGCAACATAATATTTAAAATAATGAGTGTTTGTAAGCTTACCCGAACTGTAAATGGGTGACAAAGCAATTTAAAAATGTTGCTTACTACCAGTATACTTAATTTCATAGTATAATTAGTAAACAATATACAGGTATCTCTCATATAACATGGTAGTTATGTTCCAAAAAAGTGCCGTGTTATACAAATCCATGATATATAAAACAAAGGACTAATGCAAAACATAGAGTTATATTCCAGAAGTTAGCAAAAATATATTATTCTTTTTCTTTACTAAAAGAAATATGTTTATTAAAGCAATTGATAATTTATTTCCAAATCAATAATTAATTAACAATCACAATTAAAAGTACTGTACTGTATTATGCATTAATATTAATTTTGGTTAAAAAGAAGTAATTTTCTTTTTATAAAATATTATCAGAATCTCAGCTTTTTTTGTTGATCTTGATCAGAAGTAACAGCAACATTTTCATATTTTTTATTTTTATCATAAAAAACTTTTATAGATGACAAAATAAAAATATGTTATTAATCAAAAATTTGTTCTAGTGAGTTGCGTTTGTTCAGTCGAGTACCAAGTGACTTTTTTCAGAATTTGTGTTTGAAAGCCAAATTGTTTGAGCACTGTATTTCGTTCATCATTCTTACAAATGAAGTAATCATTTGTAGGTAAGTAAGTATTAAGGTTAAAAAAAACTTAACAACACTTACCTAAAGATGTTTAAATAAACTTTACTAAATACAAAGATTAATCTATAAAAAGAAAACACAGTGACAGTCTTAGGGGCTAAAGTCTGAAAATAACGACACCTGGTTCATAGGAAAGTTAGGATGAGGAAAAAATTGTACTATCAGTTTTCATTAAAGTAAACCTGACAAAAAGCACAAAATAATTTGAAAATTTCGATATTCTAAAATTCATGGGCAAATTTGAGACAACATACGTGCTTATTTGAATGATTAAAAAAAATCGAATAACGAAGTTTACACTTAAAAATTGTGAAATTTTTTAGAGGATTTCCAAAACCAGAAGTTATGTTGTATGGTGATATCCCCAATTTTCAAACAGTGTTAGAGTGATACTGTGTTGTTTGAGGGATATCTATATTTAATTTTTTTATGTTGATCTTATAACTAATTACATTAATGTTGTTATGAGCAAAATTAAACAGTTATGCAAAAACATTATAAAACTGATTAAAAGAGAGAGAATGAGTAACAAAAACAAAATCATAAGAAAATTTGCTTGTGATGCAAAGTCCTAAAACAGGTCTTAGCCATAAAAATTGTACATTTTTTGCATAAAGATGCCTTAAGCCATTTTTGCATGTATTGAAGACAATATCAAATTACAGAAATCATGCAGAAATCTAGCTACAAAATAAAAACTATCCAGACAGATTCCTATTATAAAGTTTTATATCAAACTAGTTTAAGTATATTAAACACCTCGTAAACTAGTATGTATTATCCAAAAACAAATCAGTATACCAAGCCACCTAAATACCAAAAATATTTAATATAACAAATGTTTTTGTCCTGAATCAAACCTGATTGACAGAGGTAAAAATGTTCATTATATTAAATATTTTTAGTGTTTATTTAACTGGTTTGGTATATTGGTATGTTTCTAATTTAAGTAAATACCATATGCATTATTGTAAGAAATATTGAATCAAAACAATTTTCATAAAAACAATTCATAACAGACTGGATATTATTTGATTGATAAATAACATGAATTAATATGCATCATTAAAATTAAATTCCTATGAAAGACAACATATTGATTAAATCAAAAAGAAAATTCATCTAACATTATTCTTTCAGCTTTATAGAATGTATACAAACAAATATTGTTTGTGAGTTGCAATTACTGTTACATATTAATATCTATCATGTTTTGTCAGCACAATGAAATATTCTTTAAAAAAGATATTTTATAATAAATAATTTATTTTGATCATTTTCTAAGGAAACTATCTCCCCTATTTTATACAATGTAATATCTCTGCAGATGTTTGTTTTGTCTACTAATTTTAAGGTCAAAGTATAGGGTGGCTTTATCAATATGCTGTCTCAAAAATTGCCTTTTTATACTTTGATTTGATTGATTTTTTATCACAATGAATATATTATAAATGTATTTTGTATTTTCTTTATTTAATTTAAATAAAGACACCCAACCATTTAAAAGAGTTATTTGTATTTCTGCTTTTATAATTCTGATTTAAATATCAAATCTGATGCTCAAAGGAATTAATAAATATTTACAAATCAAAGTTATTATTTTTTCAAATGTTTGTATTTATTTATAAATTATATTGTATTCATTTTTATGACTCATAGTAAGAATAAAATAATAAAGTAATGTTATATAATCTTGAAACATTTTAAAAAAATCACTTTATTTTAATTTGATTTTAAAAAATGAAATGTTTTCTAAAGAAAACAATAGTCAATATAATTATCATTAATAGAGATGGGCAAATATTATCCATGAATAGTTGAATATTAAGTTGATAAAAATAAATTTGAATACTATGAATAACTTACTCTAATATCACACCACATGTCACAGTGATAGATCCAAAAGTATCCAAAGGGGGACTAAAAAATCAAAAATTAGAAATATTTGAATAATTAATATATGAATGAACATGCACAACAATTATATTGCAGATATATATCAAATAAATTGTATTTGCCATCATAAATGGTTTTAAAACATTTTAAAAGTTCAAAAAAATAAATTTTAATTTATCCACACAGTGTCTTTCAGAACCTCAGACTGAATTTGTGACAAGAAAAGCAGATTAGATACTGGAATGTTTTAAAATTCTTGTTTTCTTAAAAAAAAATACACAGTAAGTGAGAAAATGAGAAAAATTATTTGTTAATCTATTGTAGTTGAGATAAGAGTACTTAAAAAAAGCTAATTTAAACACAAAGTCAAAATTAAAAGTTTGAAGTTTAATTTCTTAGAATTTAGTAAATTGTTTTTTATACTTCTTATTTTATTTTATTAATATATTGAAATAAATAAAACAAGTTAAATAATAAATATTAAATAAATTATTAACTAAATAAGTTATATAAGGTAATTAAGTTCACTATGTATTTGGGATATTCAAGTATTTGAGATCTAGTTAATTTCAATATTAAAATTTGAGAAAATGATATTTGCCCATCTCTAATTATTACTGCCATTATTAAGCACTGGTCAATGTAGCTAGGGTCAATGTAGGTAAATATGAGACACTTCAAAACTTTTGTAACAGTATTTGTTTGGATCAGTATTTTACAAAGAGAAATACATGACAAAGTCTACAGATGGTGTTAAAATCTAATGGAGTATTCATTTTTTCTGTATGTATGAGAAATGTTGAGCAAAAATTTTTTTCCTGTCTCATATTTTACCTTCAAAAGCTAAAATATGAGACACTGGGAGGTGAAAAATGGGACACCCATTATATCATCATAACGGCTTGCCTATGCCAACAGAGGGGTTAATAATGAGATACTNGTTTGTATTTATTTATAAATTATATTGTATTCATTTTTATGACTCATAGTAAGAATAAAATAATAAAGTAATGTTATATAATCTTGAAACATTTTAAAAAAATCACTTTATTTTAATTTGATTTTAAAAAATGAAATGTTTTCTAAAGAAAACAATAGTCAATATAATTATCATTAATAGAGATGGGCAAATATTATCCATGAATAGTTGAATATTAAGTTGATAAAAATAAATTTGAATACTATGAATAACTTACTCTAATATCACACCACATGTCACAGTGATAGATCCAAAAGTATCCAAAGGGGGACTAAAAAATCAAAAATTAGAAATATTTGAATAATTAATATATGAATGAACATGCACAACAATTATATTGCAGATATATATCAAATAAATTGTATTTGCCATCATAAATGGTTTTAAAACATTTTAAAAGTTCAAAAAAATAAATTTTAATTTATCCACACAGTGTCTTTCAGAACCTCAGACTGAATTTGTGACAAGAAAAGCAGATTAGATACTGGAATGTTTTAAAATTCTTGTTTTCTTAAAAAAAAATACACAGTAAGTGAGAAAATGAGAAAAATTATTTGTTAATCTATTGTAGTTGAGATAAGAGTACTTAAAAAAAGCTAATTTAAACACAAAGTCAAAATTAAAAGTTTGAAGTTTAATTTCTTAGAATTTAGTAAATTGTTTTTTTTCTTTCTACTTTTCATTGTATTTTATTTAATGTGTTGAAAAAATAAAATAAGTTAAATAATAATTATTAAATGAAATTATTAACTAGATAAATTGTTGAATGTAATAATTTTACTAAATATTCGATAAAAATGTTATTCACCTATCTTTATATAATACCATAGGCTACTGACAAATAATTAATAGTGAAACTTACTATTATACAGCCTTAATAACTAAGGACTTAATTATTTTAAAATAGATTTTAATTGTTTAAGTTGTCAAGCATTAAAATGAAATGTTAATATTTTCTGTTATTGAAAATTAAAGTCTTAGATCTATACGATCATACTGAATTATTCATAGTTTCTTTTATCACCATCATGTTCAAATAGTTTCTTCTCAAATGCTTTGAAGTATTAAAAACGTACACGTATTTTCATAAAACTTTTGGATAAAAATGTAAATTATTCTGATTACTGACTACTTGTATAATTTCTTCAACATCATATCTATAAAAATTGATAAGGAGGATAAACTTACATTTTGTTAAACCAGAAGCACATGTCCATAAAAATAATTATTTTACGAGAATCTATTCGCAAGAGACAAAATTTGCACTATATTTATTACTAATAAGACATGCATAAAGTAGGCATTATTTTCTTTGATTATTTACAGTGAAAAATAAAACAAATAAAAACGGAATAATCCAATAATAAGAAATAAGAAAAGACTAATTAAAAATTAAAATTAAGATAAAATTTTAATTAACTAAAAACACATGCAAATAAATATTCAAAAGTAAGAAAAATAATTATAATAAGTACAATTTCCTTTTCTTTAAATTTTCATGTTTCGTTTGTTAAAATCCGAATGAAAAGATCTTATTTGACATTAATTAACAAATGCATTTTATTCTTAATCTAAACTAACGAAAATGGTTTGTTTATATTGTTGAAATTTTATGTTAGAACGAATTTGTGACAAGTATTTTATATTTACAGACAAAATTTTGGGTGTCTTTATATCTGAAATCATTTTAATTTTTCTAGTTCTAAAAAATCAAAATGAATTAAAGAATTTAAAATTTATATTTGATCATTGCAATTTTGTGGCTATTTTCCTTTACGAAATTCGTAAAATATTTTGAATTCTTTCTNATTCGGATGGTGCACACTCGGTAAGTAATCCTACAATTTTTTGTTTATAGCGTAGTTTATACGGATTATTTCCAAAAAAAATATACGTATTTTGGAAATGTTGAGTCGGATTAGTCTAGAATCGATTAATTTTATGGAAGAAAACCTTTCAATCAGCCGTAGTCCATAAACTTGACACATGTCGGGCTGTGATTGGAAGGACTCGGTAAGAAATCGGATTCCTAAAGAATGGAACATATCTATGATCTTATAGCAAGGTCACCTGTATTTGGTTAAGAAATAATACTCATACCTGCAAATTTGCAAATTTACAGAAGCAAGAAACTGTTTTAAAAATTAAATTTTCCAAAAAAGACAAACTGTTTTTCTGTCTTTAAAGGTATCCCATTAATGATGAAATATTGGTAACTGTCCAACTTTTTTTTATCATAATAATAAAGTGGTTATAATCTATACAGTATTGTGCTGAACAAGCATTACTTTATGTGATATGCTTCTTGTCTAGTCTTATACTCAAATATACAAGTGCTAAGATGGTTTTTCTTTTCCGCTAGACTTATTACACCATCAATGAAACGGAGGACAAACTTTAGAAAGACTTTTTATTTATTTGAGTATGCATTTCGGATAATTATATCCCTTTTCAACTCTTTCGTTACAACTATACAGGGAAAATCAGCATAATGTATACAAGTTAGCAAATTTTTTCTATAAAGTTACAAAATTGTAAAAGAACATTAGGAAACTTACATGGATTGTGAGAAATGCAAGAGTCGTGACATTAGATAAAATACGGATGGTGATTATCGATTAACAGGTTAAAAACTATGACACTTCCGTGTTGCGGCATTATTGACAGTGATTTGTTAAATTTCAGACGTGCTCGCTAGTACTTCCAACAGTTTACAACCGTTGTCTTCAGGCGAAATCGAATACCTTTGTTTTCGAATTGACAGCTTTTGGAACCATGTTAAATTACTTAAGCATTGCAATGATTGTAGGCAAAATATTCATATGGGAAAACCTTTACATATCCGCTGCTTTGCCGTGTAATGAGCCGACATAGGAAATATCACAGCTATGGATAACTTTATTTAAACAATCCAAGTTATAATTTTGTGTTCTGATTTTATTCCACTACCATGCACGGCACCATCAATCAATATTTATATGTTTTGAGGGGTTCAAGTTATTACAGCAGGTTTCTTTAAAAATATTTATTTATTCAATTTTATTAATTTGTTCTATATTCCAACCATGTGCATTATGTAATTTGAAAAGTCCATTAAAAGCTGTCAATTCGAAAACAAAGGTATTCGATTTCGCCTGAAGACGATGGTTGTAAACTGTTGAAAGTACTAGCGAGCACGTCTGAAATTTAACAAATCGCTGTCAATAACGCTGCAACACAGAAGTGTCATATTTTTAATTTCTAAATGCTGGCGTGAAGTGAACTATATTTTCATTGATTAACAGGTATAAGCTACTATAATGATTAAATTTAAAATGATTTACAAAAGGGAAAGTTTAACATAAATGTAAAAATTTTTTGAACTTACAGTGAACATGACGACCTGGTACATAGTGTTGGAAAAAACATCCCAGTATACACAACACAATGTTGAGTTAATATTAAGAAAATTGGGAACCTTGATCTTGGTTATAGTAAGGTTAATAGAAACTTTTTGGAACAACCAGTATGATGAAGTGAGGTTAGTGCACCATTAAAATAAAGGGAACAGCAAGAGATTGTGTTAGTTTACAGTAGAGTTTCACAGGGTGGGATGGTCCACAAATTGTAAGTGGGAGAGGATGCGTTAGGATGGCATCAACTTGAGAAGGGGAGAGAGGTAGTGGGGGGTGGGGTGGACATAAGGGAGGGAGGAACCAAAAAAACGGGTGTTTTGGGGGTTAGGGAATTGTAGAAGAGTGAAGGAGGAGGGGAAGTGAGATATATGAGTACCCTGCTGGGTGCCGTATTTTAACACATAAATTAAGTACTACAGCCACCCCTTTCTGGGCTTCTCTCGGTCAAGTATGGATACCAAGTTTCATGTAGCTTTTGACCAATATTATTATTCATTACACTGTCTTTGTTTTTAAGGATCTCAAGATGTTCATACCACCTCCGGTTTTTGTGTATGTAATTCTTTTTTGACAATTTTTACAGTTTCTTTTAAGATTTGGCAACCTTTGTTGTTACAATGAACAGCAACAGCTGAGTTACAATTATTATATTTAATAGTAGCTAGGTGTTCTTTAAACTGAGTCTTCAATTTCTACCAGTTTCACCTATATAAGACTTGGGGTTGGTGCAGTTGCAACTGAGTTTGTAAATTATGTTTTTTTGATCCCATATATTAATATTATTGTTATTAGTACTATGTGGGTTCAACTTGTAATTTAAACAAGGAAACTTTTCTGATGCTAAGGTTATACCATAATTATGTGATATGGATTTGATTCTTTCAAATAAATTTTGTTCGTATAAAATATTTAGATCTAACAAAGCATTGCTTTCTTAGACCTAAATATGTTTTGTGTT